TGTCTCTCCCACGTCTTTGGAACAGCAGCTGTATTAATTTCAGCATGGTTTTGGTTCTACTACATTTTTTGGTGTTTTGACCTGCCACATTGACAGTCGGGGCTCTTCCATGCAGTCATTATTCTCACATGCTACACTGACTGTGTTCTGATAAGTGGTTAAAATATCAGCGGAGTTGTGTAACTTTTTTAGGATTAAGAGAATAAACCTTCTGGCTCACAACAGACGCTAAGTGGGGAGGACGGGGTGGGTGGGGAGGACGAGCCCTTTAACTCAACTGATTCCCACATGAGAATCTCGCATAATACTCCAAGTCAGCTGACTTTAGACGCCATTTTGTCAGCCATTTCCTACACCGATCCACTGCCAGCGTCTCTGCACAGCACAGGACGGCCCCGTCTGGCCTCAACTTCATCTGCCCGGGCTCGGTAAACGGCAGCGGACCCCGCAGCACATCACGGTACCCGGGTGGATGAGACACGGTGTAGCGCGTCGGTCGGCACCCACTAGATCTCTGCACGGCGCTCGGCCCCGCAGGACAGAAGCGGTAGAAAGTCGCAGACAGTCATGGCTTTGAAGATTGTCAAAGGGAGCATCGATCGGATGTTCGATAAAAATCTCCAGGATTTAGTACGTGGCATCAGGAATCACAAGGAAGATGAGGTAAAACGAGCAAACAGTGACACCGGGGTGTTTTAAGCATTACGTTCATTAACGTTTTTTATAAGTCCAGCACACACACTGTGCCGTTACCGTTATCGCTGACCAGCGGGCTAGCGCTGGGTAAGTTAACGTTAGGTAGGCTGGAAAGCTAGCGTTATCGTCAGCGGCTAACGCCGCTGCCTTGCTGGCTGGGTGATAAACTGTCCTTTGCTTACTAACATGTTATTGGTTGCGACCTGTTACTGAGTCGGTAGAAACACAACTTTTCAGGTTTTAATAGAAAAACGCTGCCAACGTTACTGACAGCTAGCTAGTCTAGCTAACAGGCAGTTAGAGGAAGCATCTCGCTAGATCATTAAAGTTTACCTGGAGATTACTCACCGAGAGCACACCA